GCTTTCATGCATGAGGGACAAACACTTTGCATTTCATCATCAAGAAAGGGGACATTACATTGTTTCAGAGCCTCCCTGACAACATCAAAGGGGGCATGTCCAAATCTAGTGTGCCAAGTGCATAAACTAGTCCTATTTTTTAAAACAGCTGAAAATAAAGAAGGGTTCCTAGGAGATTGATGAGTAGTCTGAGGGTTGATAGGTTGTTGTTGAGTGTTGAGGTGAAATCTGTAGAGACCATCTTTAACAGCTCCTTTAAGTAAAACTTCCTTTGACACCTGGTTATTCACAAGGCAAAAAGAGGGGTGAAATTCAAAAAACACCCTATTGTCTTTGGCAAACTGTGAGACACTAAGGAGATTCTTTGTTATATTTGGCACATGCAACAGGTTGTTTAAGAGAAAGTGATTTTGATTACTGGACACTCCAATAGAACTACCTATATGAGAGATTGTCATACATGAACCATTGCCCAGGTGCACTTTTTCTCCACCATTATACTCTGAGGCCAGATTTAAGTTTGAGAGATCCTGAGTTACATGATTAGAAGCTCCTGAATTAGGATACCAAATCAGCTCTTGGTTTCCTTCAGTTCCACCAACATTAGCAACATTGATTGAGGGATTTCCTGAGTAAGAGTTTCCAGCACCTCCTTGAACTCCTGCATTTGGCTTAGAGGATAACTCATATCACACCTATAGTAGCATTTGTCTGCTGTGTGATTATTATACCCACAGATTTGACACCTTGGCCTCTTGTTGTTCCTTCCTCCTCTGCCTCTATAGCCTCCTGAACCTCTACCAAACCTTCCTCCTTGATTTCCAGACTGATTTCCTTGAATAAAGTTATTTCCTCCTCTTCCTGATTGGAAGTTGTGGCCACCTCTCCTGGCATTGAAACCTCCTCTCTTGTTTTGTGAGGTAAAGTTGACTGTGAACTGACTTTTCTCACCCAAGGTTTGTCCATCCATAACCTCCAGTCTATTTTCAAAACTCAACAGCAAGGAATGAACCTCTCTGAGCTTGGCAGGTTCAACTCTAGATAGAAGTGAGACTATAGGAGGATTGTACTCACTACCAAGACCAGCTAAGATATGAGAGATTTGATCTTCCTCAGACAATTTATGACCAGCAACTATAATGAAATCACAGCAAGACTTAACATTGTTCAGGTAATCCTTCATTGGGAGCTCACCTTTCTTCATGGTCTGAAGTTTCAACTTATATTGCATGATTTTTGTTGTGTTTCTGCTAGCAAAGGCAGTCTCAAGAGCACTCCATATTTCTTTGGAGCTTTCTAACCCCAATAGTGGTGATCAACAATGATTCTGTGAGAGAAGATAAAAGCCATGAAGCCAATAGTTGGTTCTGTCTGATCTGAAAGGTAATGCTGGGTGATTCTTCTTGCATTGTCTGCACCTTCAGTGATGAACTCGTCTGGTTGAGCTTCTGTTTTATTGAGAAATCCCTCTAGGCCATAGCCTCTGACAGCAGCAAGGATTTATTGCTTCCATATCAGGTAATTTGAATCTGAAAGCTTTATGGTGATGAGTTGGATTTGTGGATGAATGAGAGTGTCATTTTGGTTGATGTGAACAACTTCCATGATTTGTAGGCAGAGAGGGAAGGCTTAGATAATGACTCTACCCTGCTCTGATACCATATAGAAATATGGTATGAGCCATTTTCAGATAAAAGCAAAAAGAAGATCAAAGCAAAGCTGTAATGTGGAGGTTTTCAATAATAACTACAATGTTTTCTGTGTACAATCATTGGAGACGGCTGAGAGATATAAATATTGGGCTACTAGGTTTTGGGATCATTCTAGATCAATTAATCTAGGCCACACAATGAGCATCTATGTTATCTAGCTAGTACAAGGTAATTCCTAGGTGAAAAATTCAAAAAGAATGCTATGAGTTTGTCTCTTTGCATGAGGTGTAATTTGGTGTCTCTTGGTCTTCCTCTGAGGTGATATGGCAGGCACGATGGTGCTGTTGATTTTGGCTCGTGTGCATGGCATGTACGCTAACAATATAACCCTTTAATTCCTTGTAATTTTACATAGTGAGACACTAAGTGACTGATATATCCATGACTTTTGATTTGTTTCCTTCAATTAGCTATTGAATTGTAAATGTATTTTAAAAGTTGATAACTTTTGTATTTCTTATTTGTTTTACATATATAATATATCAAATTAATCATCTTTTGATGATCTTCGATTTGACATCCATATTGTATATATTGAAATAAATAAATTATATTTTTATTTATAATAATAAAAAATATTATATTTATTAAAATTCATTAGAAAAATAAAATTATTTCTCAATTAATATATTTATGTTTAATGTAGTTATATGTTGTAAGTTAAAAAAGTTATTATAATATAACACAGGTAAGTCGCACAAATAAAAAGTGTCATACTAAATATATAAAAATATATATTTTTATAAAAAGTATTTAAATTTTTAACTATTTTTTCTCATTAATTTTAGATTTAAAAAAAAAATTAACAAACACCCGTGTAATACACGAGAGTTGTACTAGTAAAGAGTAATAATTCATAATAATGTGATAAAAAGTAGTCAATTAGTAAGTAATATTATTAAATTAGTGAAATGGATACGTAAATGTTATAAATAACTTTGTATTTGATAATTATTATTTTTTATTCCAAAGTTATATTCACAATTTGAGGATAAAAAAAAAAAAAAAAAAAAAAAAAAAAAAAAAAAAGGTGAGGGGGTTGAATATCGAACGTATTGAATAATAAATAAGTTTGTTTAATTACTTATAATCACATGGAAAATTATTTTGCTGCCAATTCATGTTTTACTACACTAATTAATGATTGAATAAAATTGTAATGTCATCATCATGTCATTAATTAAATAATGAAATATATAATCAAATATTATTTTGAAATATTAAAAAATTTCAATACCTTTATTCAGTATATCAATTTATAGCACAAACACAAGAGTCAAACGTCATCCAAATCAAAAAGTTAAGGTAACGATCTTCCAATTAGAGTCTGCCACGTCGACCCGTTGACAAAATAAGCTGACTAGACGATACAGTCATACGTGATCCATCCTCACCTTTCTTCCAATTTTTTTTCCAAAAGGTTAAAAAAGGAAAAAGAAATACATAACAAATGGAAAAGTCGATTAATTATTTATGCAAGAGGAATTTTTTGGTTTTGTAATAATGATTTGGATAATCTCTTAGATGAAATTATAGATTTCTAAGAGTGATTAGTGGAGCTTGGAATTTATTCATGGGATTGATTAGTCCAAAACTTGGATAAGCTCGAATAATTAATACGGAATTAGAAATGTTGGATTATACCAATAAGAGTTGACTCAAGTGGTAAGCAGCTTGATGTTGCTTAAACAAGGTCTCGAGTTTGAGTCATTGTGAATGCAGAAAATCCTTGTTGGGAGACTCATCCACCAGTGCCAGGTGTGCGACCCAAATCAACCAACCGATTAATCGGGACAAAACTCTTGGATACCGTGACTGACTAAGAAAAAAAAAAGAGTGTTGGATTATTCAAAATGTCATGTTCACACTTCCAAATTCTCACATGGTTAGTTACATCAACCAAAATGTCAAGTTCACAAAAAATGAGGTTCTCTTTTGTGAGTTGTATGCGAATTTTACATGTGCAAATCAATTATTCTGATTGAATATGATTGATGAATATTATTTAATTATATTGCTAATATTGAAAATAAAGTTTTCGAGTTAATTTTGAATTAATTTTTTAGCTTAAACAAGTAATTAGTTAAAAGTAAATGACTTTTTTATTGAATTTTCTTTTATCGAATAACGCCCTAAGGAGTTTTATTTAAAAACTACATTTGTAATGTGTATAAAATGAATGACATGTATCATAATAAAATTATAATTATACATCTGATATTATTTAATAATGGAATGAAACATGAAATCTCGCCCGACGCGGTTTTTTTACCTATTCTTTTCATGTTTTATAGTAATCTGTCACATCAAATTTTTGTAAACTAAATTAAAAATGTTCAAAAAATAAATAAAATCATAGTTTTATTTAATTATTTTTTTAAGAGCTCACTACTATAACTGAAAAAATAAAAAGTCGCATGTTATACAATTTTTAAAGAAAAAAAAATATTCAGTCATTCGTACATTTTTAGCTATCAATTAGCAGTAACTAATATCTATTATTTTATTATATGAACTCTTATAATCATAATTTGTTTATTATATATATATTTAGTATTTACAATCTTAAAATTATTTTATTTTGTAAGAAACTATATTTTCACTATTCAGCTTAATTTCTATTTTTAAACGAGATAATCTTATCCAATAGCTATCTAATGATGAATTTATGTATGCAATCTCAACCTTTAACACAGAGAATCCGGACAGCCTAAAATACTATAAATGGAAATAAAAGATGTCAATGGCAAATACTATTGACTATTTAATTATGGGAACCATAATATTTAATTACGATCGTTGCATGAGATTAATGGGATAAAATTAAAACAAAATTATTAAACAAGTTGACGTTTGTGAGCATATGTATTAATCAAACGGTAAAAAATAAATGATGATTGCATTGTTCGCTCACCCATAGTGGTGTAGACGAACTGAACCGAACCGATCTTGGGTTGTTCAAGCTCGTGTTCATTTACGTTCGAATAATGTTCGTGTTCGTTTATTTATTTTTCGAGATAAGTGCATTGCAGTCACAAGTAGAATAGAATGCTCCACGTAGGTGTGTGTTTGGACCCCCACACCGCAATAACACCCACCCAAATCCCTATTCTATAAATACCCACTCAAAAACAATCTTACATCCAAACTAAAAATTCCTTATGCAAAAACAAGAAAGAACAATAATTCAATCTTTCTCCTCAACAAAGCAAGCCTAGCTAGCTAGCTGCCCTTCACAGGGCCCAAACGCCAAACACAAACACATTCTACCAAAAAAAAAAAAAAAAAATGGTCACCACCGATGATGCCATCACTCCTCCTCCGGCGAGCCACCGCGCGGCCGCCGTCCCGCCGCCTCAGCCGTTTTTCCGGTCACTGAAAAACACACTGAAGGAGACATTCTTCCCGGATGATCCCCTCCGGCAGTTCAAGGGCCGGCCAGCCGGTCAGCGGGCAGTTCTTGGCCTGCAGTACTTCTTCCCGATACTCGAGTGGGGCCCACGGTACACGCTCAACTTCTTCAAGTCGGACCTCATATCCGGTATCACCATCGCTAGCCTGGCAATCCCGCAGGGGATCAGCTACGCCAGGCTGGCCAACCTGCCGCCAATCCTCGGCCTATGTGAGTTGATCGATAAACTATAGTCGAATATTTATTGTTTGGTTCGATTTTATTCGAGATAATATTAAGTTCTTATATCATTTTGTGTGTGAAAAATATGTTAGCTATTTTATTTTCATTTTTTATATATAATAATGTGGTTGTCTTATATATAATTCAATTAGTATAATTAGTATGAAATAGAATTTGACAAATTTTTCCTATTTGGTTCATTTATTCAATGAATAATCAAGTATATAAAATTTACTACTAAATCTCAATTTTATACATGGCATATATATATATATATATATATATATATATGAATCTTTACAGACATGTCACGTAACAGTCGATCAAGCTGACTTTTGGTCCGTCTGTTTTTATTATTGTTATTAAATTGGTTAGACTCAAGCTTTGTTCCGCCACTGATTTACGCGATTATGGGAAGCTCGAGAGATTTAGCCGTTGGAACAGTAGCCGTTGGATCATTGCTGACGGCTTCGATGCTGGGGACCGTGGTTAATCCGGTGGAGGAGCCCACACTGTATCTCCACCTTGCTTTCACGGCGACTTTCTTTGCCGGCCTATTTGAAGTCGGTCTCGGCATTTTCAGGTTATCTACCGCACAGCCCACACCCTTTTTCATAGTAACCCACATTTGGAAAAAAAAAAAACATAATAATAATAATAATATTATTATTATTATAAAGGATTATAATATATATTATGATTCTTTTTAATTAATTAAATTAAAATGTTGCAGGCTAGGGTTCATAGTGGATTTTCTGTCGCACCCAACCATAGTAGGGTTCATGGGCGGTGCGGCCACGGTGGTTTGCCTGCAGCAGCTCAAGGGCATTTTAGGACTTGACCATTTTACCCATGCCACCGATGTTATCTCAGTCATGCGCTCCGTCTTTTCTCAATCTCACAAGGTAATTTCACACTCTCGGTAAACACTCAATTAATAATTATTATGTAATTAATTAATACTTAATTGGGCGATTTGCATGGATTAAGTATCAAATATCCACCCACTTACAAGCCAATATAAGCATCTAATCACGGATTTAAAACATGATGAGTTTTCATGTCAGTAGGGTTGAATACTGATCGGACTAGAGCTGCAAACGAACTAAGCGGCTTGTCAGTCGTTCGCGAGCGCTCGAGTCAAAGCTCGACTCGAGCTCGAGCGGCTCCATATTTTGCATTGTCGTGCGGCTCGAGATACATGTTAAATTATAAAAGTGCCCTTTATGTATGTTAGCATAGGTCTTTAATGATAATTTTACCTTTCCACTTAAAAATTCTTGAGTCGAACTCGAGCCGAGCACGAGCATTTTAATTCGAGTCGAGCTCAAACTCGAGCTCGAGCAGCTAAAAAAAATCATTCTAATTCGATAAGGTCAATGCTCGACTTGGCTTGGATCGTTTGCAGCCCTAGATCTGACGATTCAAATTTCAACTTGTTCAACATGTGTAGTAGGGTCGAATTTTCACTTACATACATCATTGCAACTTTAGAAAAAGGGCAAAGTTACGTGTATTAGACAAAAGTCAATTAAAGGGAATACCTACATAATTAATTAATCTTTGGTAAGTGGGAAATAATTAATAATTGAGGTTAGTTGCCATAATGTCTATTCAGTTGTCTTATTGTCTCACCTTTCCCAATTGAGACCACGGTCAACCATCATCCCTTTGACCTATAAAGCAAAGCACTAGAGAAATTTTCCAAAATAGTCATAAATAGATTGATTAAATTTGATTCGAATTTAAATTTGTTTATCAACTCGACTCGATAAAGACTCGATTTTGAATTTGAATATCAGAAGTTTGAGCTCAACTCAACTCAACTTATTTGCACTTGAATTCATGAGCGATAATTCAAATTAGACAAATTTTAATAAATTACTATTAATTAATTAAATTAAAAAATTATATTAGATAGACCACAAACAAATTTGAAACTAACTTTTGAATTTTCCCAAAACACCCACTATACCCACTCACAACCACCCAAAGCCAAATACAGTGATTTTGCAAAATTGGACAAACTCATAATTTGAAAAAGTGGTCCAAAACAATCACTTTATGTACAATATATAATAGATGGAATCATCATATATCATTACAACCTATGAAGCCAACAGTTGACTTTATAGTGGAGTCAACTTTCTATATACAACAAATAAACATATCATATTAACAAAGTTATATTAGTGTTATTTAAGTAATCGAAGAATATTGTATGTTTACTTGTTGTATATAGAAGGTTGGTTCCACTATGGAACCAACTGTTGGCTTCATAGCAAAACCGTCGTAACAACTTGATAGAAACCTAGTCATCTTTGTAATTGTCACATATTGACTCAATAATACTTGCTAGAATTTCCAAGATTTATTTTTAACTAGTTATATTTTTCTGCCTTTCTTTTTTAATAAATTCATCCAAATTCAATTTATTTCAACAAAAAAATCCTATTGTTTTATCAGATTCGATTTGCTAATTAATTGTAAAATTAATTTGCAGTGGCGATGGGAAAGTGCTGTGCTGGGATGTGTCTTCCTTTTTTACCTCCTCATTTCGAGATACTTTGTAAGTAAATATAGTCAAAATATTGGTCCTACCCGATTCGATTCCGAATTAGTCGGTTTTCCTGTGAATTCGGAAACTGGAAGGTCCCTGTACAAAAAGAAAAATATAGTCAAAATATTTAAAAATATGTCACATTTAATTATTTTGTCAAAATTTTTTATGTGAGATAAATTATTAAGAGTTAGACAGATCGACCAATTAATTAACTTAGGTTAATTAATTATATATGAAATAATATTGCAGAGCAAAAAGAAGCCGAAGCTATTTTGGATATCAGCCATAGCTCCATTGACATCTGTGATTTTGGGGAGTATTCTGGTGTATCTCACCCATGCTGAAAAACATGGAGTCCAAGTGGTGAGCCAATCATCATCATCATAATTAATTAATTAATTAATTAATTTAATAATTTATGCCTATAATATTGTTGTTTTTCGTAGTAATAAGTGTTTTATCTTTTTATATTTCATTGTCTTTTATAGTTAAATGATGTTAAAATCTTGAAATTGATGATTCTCAATTATTTCATATGATGAATAATTGCAATTAATTAAGGACTAATTTGAAAAATAATGAAATAAAAGCTTAGGGAAATGCTACGGTGATTCCGTAACGGAGTCTGTAACCGTTAGATCATTATATAACCGTCATGGATAGTTGATCTAACGGTTACAGACCCTGATGGAATGGTTCCGTAACGAGACCGTAGCATCTCCAAAAAGCTTAATTAATAATTACAATCTCCATTTTATTTTATTTTCTTTTTTTTTTCTGATTTATTTGTTTATTTCAGATAGGACATTTGAAGAAGGGAATAAATCCAGCATCAATAATGGACCTCAATTTTAATTCAAGGTATTTGACAACAACAATCAAAACAGGCATAGTCACGGGCATCATCTCACTAGCTGTAAGTTCCATTAATTCTTAAATTTTGAAATTAACTAAATTAATAGTTAATAATTAAATTAATTATGAAATAAACAACAATTATTTAACAAAATTAATATAATTATTTAATTATGAAATTTTGACAGGAAGGAATAGCAGTGGGCCGAAGCTTTTCAATGTTCAAGAATTATCATATTGATGGCAACAAAGAAATGATCGCTATTGGGATGATGAATATTGTGGGCTCTTGTTCCTCTTGCTACCTCACAACGGGTAATGGGCCTGGCCCAATTACTTTATTCAACACCATAAATGAAAACAAGTTACAAAAAAGAAATATTAGTTATATTTAAAGATTATTTTACAAGTCTTAAATTGCTAGTATTTTATGCATTTTTTCTTCTTTAATTTTAGGGCCATTTTCGCGGTCTGCGGTCAACTTCAACGCGGGATGCAAAACGGCTGTCTCGAATATTGTGATGGCAATAGCAATCGTGATAACATTAGTTCTCTTGACTCCATTGTTCTACTACACCCCGATAGTCGTACTCTCCGCGATCATAATTACCGCCATGCTTGGCCTCATCGACTATGATGCAGCCATCCATTTGTGGCATGTGGACAAGTTCGACTTTCTCGTGTGCATGAGCTCCTACATTGGTATGGTCTTTGCTAGCTTCGAAGTCGGTCTAGTTATGGCGGTAAGTATCTATGTATTGATGTGTATATATAAATATTGAAAATGAGCCGTATATATTGAATCAAATACATCAAAGGGATTCATACCTTGCAATATGACATGGTCATTGACCGGCTTGACTCGCGATCTCGATGGGTGTGGTCTACTGACCAAGAGTCGAGGCCCATTGACCAACATTTTGGATTAGACTGGGGTTAAGATCAGAACCATGAACTGCACGAGTTAGTTTAAGATGTTTCGTCCAGAACTAATTCAGAGGCAGTTGCCGACAATTCTACTCGGAAAATGTATTCTAATATCAATATTTGAATTTTTAAGGCGGTTCTAAGTTAAAACATGATGGAACCCACAACCGAACCACAGGCGGTTTCAAGAATCGAAAACGCCAAATATTAGGGCAATTTCGGTTAAATGTTTTCAAAACCCTTGACCCACATGAGTCGGGCTCTGCACCGATGGTTGATCCGATTTGCCTAGTCTACTTGGACTAAGGCTTTGTGGTCTATGTACACATGTAGTATACAAGAGCAATGTAAACATTTTTGTTTAATAGGGAAAAAACAAAAAATTAGGCCATGACTAAGAACAATTGTTGTTTGATTGTTGAGTATTGACAATTGACTTGGTTAATTTTGCAGATTGGACTATCTATCTTGAGGGTGCTACTATTTGTTGCTAGGCCAAGGACTTTGGTGCTTGGTAACATTCCAGATTCCAATGTTTTCAGAAGTGTTGATCATTACCAAAATGCAATTAATGTGCCAGGAGTTCTCATTCTTGAAATTGATGCCCCAATTTACTTTGCCAATTCCAACTATTTGAGAGAGAGGTAAAATTCAATACTTAAACATACTCCCTCCTATTTTTATTATTTGTCGTTTTGAAAAGCAACACGCTAATGGATGTTATGGAAAATTATGGAGATGGAATATGAAGAGACATTGTGCATTGATGGAGGGTTAAAAATGAAAAAATATAAACAAAATAGTCAAAACGACATTTATTAATCAATGATCCATTAAGCCAAAGTGACAAATAATAAAAATAGGAGGGAGTAATAATTATAGAAGCTCATAGGTGAATGAATTATATGCATCATTTTTATTTTTTTATTATTTTGTTTAAATTGCAGAATTTCAAGGTGGATTGATGATGAAGAAGACAGAATCAAGTCATGTGGAGAAATTGAATTGCAATATATTATACTAGACATGAGTGGTTAGTACTTACAATTTATTAACCCATGTAAAATAATTACAAAAATCCAACCCCAAATTCTATAAATTGTAAATCCAAACTATACATTATAATGATTTCGAAAAATTAACTATATCTCATTCTCTAATTTGTTTATTCAGCTGTTGGAAACATCGACACGAGTGGAATTAGCATGCTCGACGAGGTCATGAAGATCATCGATCGGAGGGGGCTCAAGGTAAAACTTGGTTCGACTACATTTTACGAATCGACCCTTTATAAATTATGGTACTTACAATAAACTAAGTTGTGTTTATTTTATTTTATTTATTATTATTTTTTTTTTTCCAAATTTCAGTTGGCATTGGCTAATCCAGGAGCTGAGGTGATGAAAAAGTTGGATAAATCGAAGTTTCTAGAAAGAATGGGCCAAGATTGGATCTTCTTAACCGTGGAGGATGCTGTTGGGGCATGCAATTACATGTTACACGACTTCAAGCCCAAAATGAATAATAGTGATTTTTCAGATGAAAAATATAGCAATAATGTGTGAGATTTGGAGTTGAAATAAAAAAAAAAAAAAAA